AACATCTTTCCTTTGCATAACCAACCCCCGAACTTGGTTTCTCTCCCCTTCTTTTGGGTTATTCGTTCTTTCCCCAGTCCTCTGGAAACAATAAAGCGCAGTGGCGAATTTTATTTGATGTGTGCGAGTTAAGTAAATCTAATGGTTTAGTCTTAACATTTCTACCGCTACAGAAAAAATTGGCGACTTCAATGGGGAACGGTTTACCAAATGCTGGTCCATACCTAAGTGGGTTGAGCCTATCTTTGTTTATCTGTGTATATGACATTATTTGTTGTATATTATGTGTTGTATATATGTTTTTCTGGATTTTTCCTAGTTTTCAGGGTGCTTGGTGATTTCTCATAAGTCCTTTACCTGGACTTGGGAAAACTTAAGATAGGATGGGCGGTATAGTCATGTTAACTTTGAGGGAGTAATCCCAAAAAAGGAGGCATGAGATCCTCCACTCAGTGGAGGCCCCTTTGACTGTAGTGCCATTTACCGAGTAATTGGGAAGACAAACTGCTTTCGGCCTGGGAGCTTGCTAAAACTGAGGACCGTAGTACCTTTAATCCATCTTGGCCTTTTTGGTGTAGTGCGGAAATTATGACGGATTAATCCGGAAATAGTTGTCACGCGATACTACACTCAGACGAGTTTTTCTTGGGAATATTACTAATTACCGAGTCAATCGGGACGTTGGTAATATCCGAAGGAAGGATGTAGACTCTGGGAACCTCTTAGAACCTTATTCGGCAGGTGATAAACTATTAGACCATACCTTATGGGTAGTACCTTTGACTTCATGCTAGTGACGTCAAACCTATGAATCCCTCATGTTTGTGATCTTATGTGTGATTGTTGCATCGTGCATTCATGCACCCATGAGCATCCTTTAAGACATTTTGTTTCAAGGGACTTAAAATTGACTCTTTGTGAATATCTCAGGTGCTTTTGACCATGGATTCTGGAAAAAGAAAGACTCGGAAGTACAGTTTCAATAATCCAAAGATAGATGATTTGATGGGTCTAATTCCCGAGGTTAAGAGTTCTTTAGTTTTTCGGAAGAAGTATGGATCCATCGTGTCTCTCATGAAGCTCAAGATGAAGGAGGGTATTCTCTCGACTTTGGTCCAATTCTATGATCCAATGTATTGATGTTTCACTTTCCTTGATTATCAGTTGATACCTACATTGGAGGATTATTCTTATCTATTGGGTTTACCTATTACCGATCGTGTTCCTTTCACCGGTTTGGAGGAGGAGTCAAAGTCCCATGAGATTGCTACTATGGTTTATTTGGGAAAGTATGTGATTGAGGCCCACATGACTACCAAAGGAGGAATTAGAGGATTACCCGCTCAGTTTTTATTAGAGAAAGCTCGTTACTTTGCTAGGATGAAGAGTACAATTGCTTTTAAGGCCATCTTTGCTTTGCTTGCTTATGGATTGTTCTTATTTCTGAATGTCGATAACTTTGTGGATATCAATGCCATCAAGATCTTTTTTATAGGGAATCTAGTCCCTACATTATTAGGAGATGCTTATTACTCTATTCACCTTTGGGATTCTTATCATGGAGGGATGATCATTTGCTGCACGCCTTTGTTGTATAAATGGTTTATTTCTAACTTACCTCGGTCCAATGCTTTCTGGAATGTCAAGAAGGAACCTCGTTGGGCTCCAAAGATTATGGCCCTCACTCATTTAGATATTGTTTGGTATCATCAGGCTTACCATGATGTAGAGATTGTCGATAGTTGTGGTAGTTTCCCAAATGTACCTCTTCTTGGTACAAAGGGGGGAATTAACTACAATCCTGCCCTTGCACGATGACAGCTTGGATATCTGACGGAGAGATAAGCCAAATAGTATTCATCTGAGTGGTTTATTTCTCAATGAGGGGGAGGATCATAAGGAAGCTAAGGAGGAGATTGTAAAGGCTTGGCGCCATATTCACAAGAAGAGTAGAAAGGACTTGGGACCATAGAGGAGCTGTTTCTTTGGAGCCTTATCACCGATGGGTACAAGCAAGGGCAATCCAGTTGAAGATGTTGTATTCCCGTGAATCACCTATGCCTAATATGTTTATGAAAACCACTCCTTCCCTTTTAGATGATGTGGAAGAGCTTCAGCTTGCCCTAGTCAGGGTGCAGCAGGAGAAGGAGGCTTGGAAGAATAATTGTCAGACTATAGAGATGTCCTACCGAGCAAACTTGAAGGAGAAGGATGACTTGATCGAGATTCTTGAGAGTCGTGCTGTAGAAATAATGGAGAGGCAAGAGGATTTATTTTCCTCTTGAGCTCAGTCAGGACTTAGTCATTCACTTCCCGACTCTAGTAATTAGAAAGTGGTTGCCGACATGTATGCATAAGAGAACAAGCAGTGGAAGGCTCAGATTGCAAGACTCACGGAAAAACGTTAGTGTATGGAGACATCTTCATCAGCTTTGCTTTCTTAGGATTTTAGATTCTATCTTCTTTTGTACTTGGGATTATTGAAACTTGTACTAAAAGTTGTAATCCGTTTTGAAGTTATTATAATAAGATTTTTAGTATTTCAAAAATGTGTTAGTACTTTAGTATTTGCAGATTGTCTATAATTCTTTGAGTCCCTTGAAGTATTAATAATAATAAAATAAATCATATGCATTGCATATCACGCATCATCTTGTACATATTTCTTGCATTCCTGTTCATACCTAGGTGTCTTATTGAATTTCTCTACTTCATTCAGCAAGTTGTCTCACTGGCACAATACTCGAGCTAATTCTAGGAAGAAAATAGAGAATCTTGAACAAGAGAATCGCGAGCTGCGCGAAAAAATTACTACTTTGAAGGCCGATATGGTCAATCTGACTGCTTTAATGGAATCGTTGGTGGCTGCTCATAATCAGCCACCACTTGCTCAGCCACAACAAACAACAGTTGCTTCTAAAGATCCATCAGTTCCCGTTTCTGTTACTCTAGTTACTGTCGCTCAGAACCGTATGCCTCAGGGTTACCCATGGGGAATGCCAGAGAACTTCATGCCAGAAGGTTTTAATCTTGACACTCAAGCTGCTCCAGTTGTGCAAGCTGCTACTACTCTCGCACCTCCTGTGGTGCATATTACTCCTGCTGCTAGAAATGAGATCCAATATGTTGCACCTCCTTCGGTGAATGCTATGCCGTTTGCTAATGATAAAGTTTATCGTCCTGTTCCTCCACCAAGTGAAAGTGTGGGTTTCTATGACCGGTTGGATGACTTTCAAGACCAGTTCAACGAGATGCAGAAAGAAATGAAGGTCCTTCGAAGAAAAGAATTATTTTGTCAGAACGCCGGTGAACTCTGCCTAGTTTCTAACATAAAGGTGCCAGCCAAGTTTAAAGTACCGAAATTTGAGAGGTACAAGAGCAACTCTTGCCCTCATGACCACCTTGTGATGTATATCAGGAAAATGTTTACCCATACTGATGATCAGCGTTTGCTCATTCATTTCTTCCAAGACAGTTTAACTGGTGTTGCTCTAAAGTGGTATATGAGTCTGGACAGTAGTAGTATATGTACCTTCAATGATATGGGAGAAGCCTTCATCAAACAGTACAAGTACAATATGTTCATGACACCTAATCGTGACCAGTTAAGGGCAATGGCTCAGAGAGACAAGGAGTCATTCAAAGAATATGCGCAGAGATGGAGCGAGATAGCTGCCCAGGTGGTGCCACCTATGGGAGAACAAGAAACGACAGAGGTCTTCCTGAAAACCCTTGGATCATTTTATTATGAAAGGATGGTCGCCAGTGCGCCGAGTGATTTTATCAAAATGGTAAGCATGGGTGTTTGTTTGGAAGATGCTGTTAGAGAATGGCGCTTGACAAAAGAGGAAGGGATGAAGAAGTCGTCGTATGGGTTCTCTCGAAAGAAATAAAGTGAAACGAATTCTGTTATTGGGGAAAGAAAGATTAGACCAACTAGAAGGCATCAACGGTATCAGCAACATGTTGCTTCTGTGACTCCAGTCGTCAACGTAGCTCCAACCACAGTTGCCTATCGGAGACCATCTCCTCAGAGGAACCAAGGGCAAAGTCAGGAAAAAAAAAGCTTTTGACTCCATTCCAATGAGCTATGTGTCATACTCCAAAATTATTCACCCTTCATATATTTTTTAGCTCTTTTTATTTCGAATGAGCACAATGCCCTAGTGTATAGTGAAAGGAGGTAAGAAATTATATATGCATGATGTCTTGAGTTAAAATCGCACCTACTCCACCTTTGTTGCATTTTTTTCTTCATTTTTTTAAAACTTTGTACCTATTGTTATTTTTACTACTTTTTTATTGTTATTTTTACTACTTTTCTATTTTTCTAGTATTATAAATATTAATTTTTTGTTTTGTTATCATTAGTATTATCATTGTTAGTTTTGTCTTAGTTCATATATTTGTTAATACTATATTTTTGTTATTATTTGTCTAATTATTTACTTTAGTATTTTATCAATATGTCAAAAAAAATTCTTTTTAATTTTTATATTTTATTTTTTTGTTTGTAATTAATTGTTAAATTCCATTTTTTTTTTAAAGATTTTAATTTTAATTTTCCTTTAATTAAATTATTTTAAATCATTATTTGTATTATTTTTATTCAATATTTATCATTAACTAATCAAATCACAAAATTATCAAAAAAACATTTTACTTTCTATGTTTAAGATAAAAATTTTAATATAAATAATTTTCTAACACATTTTTATTCACTAAGCATTTTTACATGTACATATTCACACATATATATTTTCTGATATACCTATTTTGACAAACCTGGTAGATATTCTTCCACTTTTTCTATATCCACACACATGTTGCGAATAATATGTTGTTACATAACTTTCATCCAACACCAAACTAACCTGTGAAAAGAAATAACACCGTACTACTTGTGCACAGTTTATTCTCTTTACAGATGAAGTGAACAAGAAAAGTTGCAAAACTGAACATAAAAGAGAAGACCGAGATCGATGTGAAAAAACTCCAATTCAGGCTCGCCCCAACTGCACGAAGGGAACACCCTCCGTCACAACACCGCCGTCGAGCAACAAAGTGCAGTCGCTCTCGCACCTGCCTCCACGCAGCGGGGTTGAATCAAAGAAAATCGCAGGAGAAAATCAAGAACCAAACAAAGACACAACAAAAACCTTCAAAAGTCATGAATCAAAAAGGAAGAACGGAAGAAAGCAGTAAGAAGAAAGAACAATTCTAAAATCCACGCACAACTCAGCACCATCCAGATCCACTCCGCAAAACCGGAATCCCACTGTCGGCCGATCAACCAGCGATGCACCTGCCACAACGTCTCCGATCCGGCTGCGACTTCCACGACACCTCCGCAAACGCCCGCCGCCATATACACCATCGATGATTTCCGTAACCTCAGGTTTAATTTTCATAAGGTTTTGCTGTGCATCTGATTCTACTTATGTGTTTCCCTTTTGAAATTAATAGAAATATAGGTTGTGATTTGATTTTGGTAAAGAAGTATTAAAAGGTATCCTTGTGAAAGAAACAAGGAAACGAAAAGAAGAAAAATGGATCTGGTCTCAGTTTCCTCTATTCTTAATCTGTTATTTATTTTTTATTTTTATAATAAACATGCCACATGTCAGGATTCTATTGGAGGTTATTTTATTTTGAAAAGTCCACCTTTTGTGTTCATTCTGGTAACGTGTCCTGAGATTTAAAGAATAGAGTTTCTATTGTATAGTTAACTTTTTCTTTTGTTTTTTTATTGTTATAATTGTTTTAGGTTAACAATAGTAATAGTACTTTGTTTTTATTGTAATAGTAGGGGCGCCCACCTTTTCTATTTATTTTTATTTTTATCTTTTTTTGTTATGTAATACTAAATAAATAAATTAGGTTTAGTTAATTCAAGTTAATTTTGAAATGGTCCTTAAGCCCATATTGTAGTCTAATAATACCACCCTTCCTATTAACATCTCCTTTTTGCTAGCTTAGAAATAATTTCAACCTCCTCTTACGAAATTAGTTTTATTTATTTATTTTATTTTTATAATTCCATCTATATAATTACTTACTTATTTTTATTTTATATTTATATATTTTTATTTTATATTTATATATTTGTATATATATTTTTAATAGTTTTATAATTATAATATTATATTATTATTATTACAAATGATTAATTATTTTAAACTCACTTAAAATATAATATTATTTACTTGCATTAAATCATATCTTTTAATCATGTGTTTAATAACATTTCTCACCATATAAGTTAATTTAATATTTTATATCAAAATATTAAAACCTACGCAATTCCAAATATTTCATCCGTAAGCGACACGTGGCCAATATCTGGCCACGTGATGAGGAGGCTATATCACCCCGCTCTGCGTCTTAAAACAACTAACCAATCTCAAATAGTTTTTTACTGACATAACAATCAAATTCAAGAACATTTTTCAAAAAAGGATTAAATTGTATCGTCTTCGAATCAAACTACGAACTGCGTCTACGATCACTCAATTTCAAAATGAACTACGAAATGAGACTCTGATTCCTCCTAAGAGGATACGTAGGCATACGATTAAAATCGTGGCGAGTCCCACTAAATAATATTCAAATCATTTTCCTTAATAAGCAATTAAAACCTTATTTCCTAAAACCTAGTATCCTTGCGAACAAGGTAGAGGAGGAATGTCTAACACCTTCCCCTCGTATAGAACCGAGTCCAAATCTAGAATCTCTAACTTTTAGGGTTATTCCTTTATACTCCATTCCTTTAGGATAAAAATTAAGGATGACGACTCTGATTTAAAAATCAGTTGCAACACTATGCAGAGTTACTCCCGACTTTGATTCAGAAGAAGTTGGTTTAGACCAGGGCACCCCTACTATACCATCACCTTTGCCTTGGTATTATAAGGCAGACCAGACGTGTGTTTTTCATCAGGGAGCACCAGGGCACAATATTGAGAACTGTTATCCTTTGAAATCTAAAGTACAAAAGATGGTGAGATCTGGCCTTTTATCTTTTAAAGATGTTGGCCCTAACACGAAAGGTAATCCTTTGCCAAAGCATGGAGGAGCAAATATTGTAAACATGGTTGCTGGTTGTCCAGGGGACTTTCGGATTTTTGATATCAACCTGGTTAGAGGAGATTTGGTAAAGATGCATGCTGACCTCTGCGAGTTTAGTTATTATGCACATGACCATGCTGGTTGTGGTATTTGCAATACAAATGTCCAAGGATTTGATAAGATAAAAGCTGATCTTCAGGAAATGATGGACGAAGGCCTTATTCATATAATCAGGCCTAGGCCAGAGTACGAAGAAAATGTGAACATGGTCTATCAATGTCTCGGTGAGTTTCAGATTTTTGACGTGAACCATATGAATGAGGATTTGGTACAGTTGCACGCTACCTTCTGTCACATGGATGGTTAAGAAGAACACCATTATAGGTCTTACCGGATCTGCAACAGAGATTCTCGTGGTTGTTCCATTGTGAGAAGGGGTATTCAGTTGTTATTGGATAATGGTACTATCAAAGTTTCAGGCAATAGAGATGATTACCATGGAATTAACGTGACTGAAGACTGCTCAGCCGAGACTGTGTCAGACGATGAGTATGCTTCTGCAGATGAATTCTTTTCCTCAGATGAAGATATGTTCTCCAGCAATGATTCTGTGATGTCTAAGTATTCTAAAGAGAGGGTGAATGTTATTGTGCCTTGTTTTGGTGTTCCTGCCCCTATAGAGATTGAGTACCATAGCAAACCAGTTGTTGCTCCAGTGGTGATTTGCTTACCGGGTCTTGTTCCTTACGAATCAGACAAGGCCGTGCCATACAAATACAATGCTATAATCTTGGAGGATGGTGTGGAAGTTCCCATCCAACCTTTGTCTGATGTCAAGAATATTGCTGAAGCCAGCCGAGTGACCTACAGTGGTCGTGTTTTCGCACCTGTCATTCGAGGGAATGTTAATGCTGATAAAAAGGTTGTTGAAGGTACTGAACTCAAGAAAGTAGTGGGGGAATCTAGTGGTACTACTCTGGAAAAAGATGTGGATGATATATTGAAGATTATCAAGATGAGGACTACAGGATCGTAGATCAATTGTTGTAGACACCATCAAAGATATCTATTCTAGCTTTGCTAATGAACTCTTCTTCCCACAGGGAATCTTTGATGAGAGTATTGGATCAAGCTTTCATGGAAAGTGACGTGCCTTTGGACCAATTTAGTAGTGTTGTCGGGAATATTACATCTTGTAATAACTTGAGTTTCTGTGATGACGAGCTGCCCGATGAAGGAAGGCATCATAATCCGGCTCTCCATATCTCCATGAACTACAAGAATGACTCATTGTCCAATGTGTTGATTGATAATGGGTCCGCTTTAAATGGTATATCGAGGAGCACACTCATGAAGCTGAAGTACCAAGGAACCCCCATGCGCCTGAGTGGCATAATTATGAAAGCTTTTGATGGATCAAGGAAGTCTGTCATCGGGGAAGTAGATTTGCCTATTCACATAGGCATGCACCCATTTCAGATTACTTTCCAGGTTATGGATATTGTTCCCGCTTACAGTTGTTTACTGGGATGGTCGTGGATCCACTAGGCAGGGGTTGTTACTTCAACTTTGCACCATAAATTGAAGTTTGTTCGTGAAGGAAATGTGGTAATCATAAATGGAGAACAAGCATTGTTAATATCTCATTTATCCTATTTCAGTGTTGTGGAAGCGGATGAAGCTGCTGTTAGAACTCAGTTCTAAGCTTTATCCATTGATAATGTAAGAGAAAATGAGAATTCTATAGCTTCGTTTAAGGATGCTCAACAGGTAGTGCGTAATGGCCTTAGTAAAGCATGGGGGCAGATTGTGGATCTGCCTGTGAATAAGAATAAAGTTGGTTTTGGATTCTCTGTGAAGAATGGTAAAAGTGATATTATGAAGCCGAAGTCTGCTTTGGGCAAATATCAAGACATCTTTCATAGCAGAGGTTATCTTTATCCAATTGTTCCTAGGATTAATGCTATTATGGAAGGTGAAGAAGAGCAAGAGATGCCGAACTACGTGACGCATGGAGTCAGAGTCCAGAACTGGGTCACTATTGATGTTCCCTCTTACATTCATATTTCAAAGTAATTTGTTTTTTGTTAATCTTTTCAAAAATCTTTCACTCTGCCCAAGGTGAAAGTATTGATATTGTATGGGCATATATGTTGTTTTGATCATTAAAATCATTAATAAAAGTTGTCTTTGATTCCCAAATTGTGTCTTTATTTTCTGCTTTTTCTTGGAAAATGGTAATCAGAAAAAACTTTTTCAAAATAAATAATAACTGTAATTTAATCTGCATAATCACTTGTTATATGCGTCGGTTTCTAAAAGCAATCATAAATCATATATGCAGATTAATTAAAAAAACTCGTTGAATACCATGACCCTGCACCCTCTCCCAACTTTGAATATCCTGCGTATGTGGTCGAAGAAGAAGAATATGATGAAATCCCATAAGAGGTTTCACGGTTTCTTGAGCATGAGGAAAGTGCCATTCAACCATATAAAGAGCCGTTAGAGACAAACAATTTGGGTTCAGAGGAAGATCCAAAAGAAGTGAAGATTGGAGCATTGTTGCAACCCGACGTGAAGAGCATGTTGATTGAATTATTGAAAGAGTATGTGGATATATTTGCTTGGTCTTGCCAAGACATGCCTGGTTTGGATACTGATATTGTGGAACATCGTTTGCCGCTAAAGCCAGAATGTCCGCTAATCAAGCAGAAATTGCGAAGAACTCACCCTGATATGACGATGAAAATTAAAGAAGATGTTTTAAAGCAGATTAATGTCGATTTTCTTGTGACATCAGTGTACCCTCAGTGGATCGCCAATATTGTCCCAGTACCAAAGAAAGACGGAAAAATTCGCATGTGCGTTGATTATAGAGATTTAAACAAAGCTAGTCCAAAAGATGACTTTCCATTGCCACATATTGATATGTTGGTTGATAGTACAACAAAATTCAAAGTATTCTCGTTCATGGACGAATTTTTCGGATATAATCAAATTAAAATGGCTCATGAGGACATGGAAAAAATAACGTTTATCACACCCTGGGGAACATTTTGTTACAAAGTGATGCCCTTTCGGGTTAAAGAACGCTGATGCAACGTACCAGAGGGCTATGACAACCCTATTCCATGATCTGATGCACAAGGAAATTGAGGTATATGTTGATGATATGATTGCCAAATCCCATACTGAAGAAGGGCATATAGAAGATTTGTTTAAATTATTTCAGCATTTGAGGAAGTATCGTCTCTGCTTGAATCCAAATAAATGCACCTTTGATGTCCGATCAGGAAAATTGTTAGGTTTCATTGTCAACCAAAAAGGAATTGAAGTTGAC